TGCCGGGCCATGGTGGGGGGGGGCGCCCCCCCCTGCAGCGCTGTGGGATCCAGCCTGCCCTGGCCGCGCCGCCGCGCCCTTGACAGGAAGCCCCGCCCGCGCAGGCTCCGAAGAGTGGAGACCGTCTCGAGGAGATCCGGCCCGCGGCCGCCCCGCGGTGCCCTCTTCCGTGGTGACGACCGCCTCGAGCAGGGCAGCGCTTCCCGGAACGGGCCGAGGGTCGGCCCCATCCTGTCGCTGTGCAGCCTGGCTTCCCCTGCCCGTCCCGCCAGGCCCTCCAAGAAGCCGCACGCGGGGCCGGAAGGCTGAAGAAAGTCTTGCAGAGATGGGGGCTGTTCTTTTATGAGCTTGCTTTCCCGAGCGTCCCCCCCTCCACGGGGGAAGTAGCTGTCGAGCCCCCGTCCGGAGAAGACACTCGTCGGGAATCAGAGGCCCCGCCACCCTTTGCCGACGGCACCATCCGGCCAAGCAGGCGCCAGAGCACGCCTCGGCGCGCACGGGCCCGCAGCAAGGATGAGGAAGACGCTCCTCCTGTTTACCTCGGCCAGACTCTGAGCGTGATGCTCGCAGCGTTCGTGCTCCTCCTCCCCCTCCTCCTCCGCGGCCGGGCCGCGGGGGCGGGCGCCCGCCGCCACGACTCCCGCTCCGGCCCGAGAGGATGCCTCGGCCACACGCCTGGCGATTTGGCCTGCGACTCGCCTCCCCCGGCCGCCCCGTCGGGCCCTCGAAGACGCACGCGGGCCCTGCAGAGTAGCGACCACAATTCGAGAGTGGAGGCGCTTCTCCGGACAGGCCCGGGGGCAGTCCCCGGCGCTGCTGCGCGATCTCTCTGGCCTCCCTCGTGGCCGTCCCGCCGCGGGCCCTCTGAGAAGCCTCGCGCGACGCCCCCAAAAGTGAAGACACCTCCAGGATCGGGGGCGCACTGTTGCGGGTCCGTGCAAGAGTGGGCCAGCCAGGCTTTGCAGGATCCCGCAAGACTCCGCAGGATGCTGCAGGATCCTGCGCCTGGCCTGGGTCGGTGCGGCCCATGGCCCTGCGGGATCCTGCAAGATCCCGCGCTCTGGCCGACTCCCGCTTGCCTTGAGCCTCGCCGCTCGAGCCCCGACAGGGCTGGGCGCTCCCTGCACCGGCCCAGGGCGGCCTCAAGCGTGGCCGGGCGATTCCTAGGCCTCCCCTGGCCGCGCCGCCCGGCCGTCGGAGAAGCGTTGCGCGGTGCCGAGAAAAAGGCGACGGCTTCGAGGGGGGGAGCTCTCCCGTGGAGGGCCCGGGCGCGGAGAGAGCAAACAGTGACGACCGTGTCGCACTCGAGAGCCCACACCATCTCGGGCGCCCCCGGCGGGACAGCACGGTCCCCGACGGCCGGGTGCGATCTGGCCTCCCTGGGCCGCCGGAGGGGGGCCCAGGCCCAGGAAGGGCGAGTGTTTCAGCTGTTGCCTGTATGGAGCACTCCCCCTCCCTTCAGTGGTGACGAAGGGCAGGCGGCGGGGTTTGGCGGGTCGCCTGATTGGTGGGGTGGCTGGTAGACCTGGTTTGCTGATTGAGTTGGTCGGGCTGGCTGACTGCACTGTCTAGGACAATTGGCTTCGACTCCTGCTCCTACTCCCGGGACGTTTGGCGGAAGGTGGTGCCTTCTTCCACCTCGTGCCCTCAACGCCCCTTCCCCCCCTCTACTCTGAACAACGCTCCTCCTCCTCCTCCTGTCCTCCTCCTCCTCCCCTCCTCGCTGTCTCCTCCTGCTCTCCCTGCTGTCCTCCTCCTTCACTTCCGCCGCCATCCACCCGCCAGGCGCGCCACGGACTCCGCAGACGCCCCTCGAACCACACAGAACTCTGCGAACGACCCTGAAACGGATCCCTTTTCTCGTCTGGGCTTGCGAGGGTCTGCAGGCCCGTTTCCGTCTGGGTTTTCCTTCCCTGCGCAGCGAGCTTTTGAAACTTGCCGGTGGCCCCAGAGCCTCCACAGTCTCGGCACCAGCGAAGCCCCAAGGTGAGGTCCAGTGAGTGGAAGCCATGCAAAGAAGCTGGCCTCCTCAGGCACGTTTATGCGTACAGAGGCCTCCGAGATCGGGTCAGAGTAGCTAGGGTAGGAGGATGGCGCCGCATCGCAGATGCATCAACGATACACCACCGATGCGTTGGCGATGCAGCAGCGACGTCAGTGTTGAAGGGGCGACGCCGGCATGGAGGAAATCGGGCTCCACATGAAGCCGCACCGCTGATGCATCGGCGATGCGGTGCGAACCTCCGGCCCCATCTGCTTGGACCACATCTGGGAGGCCTTGGGCTTAACCTTCAAACAATCCTGTAACTCTGCTCTTCCCTCTCCCCTCGCCTCCCCCTTGCCAAGGAGCAGCTGCGCACCGACACCGCCCCCAAAGGCGAGCCAGCGACCTCCCAGAGACACGCACAGTGTACGGAGCCGCCCCTGTCGTGCGGAGGATACGCGCCCGAGAGGAAGGAAGAGGGAGGGAGGGAGGGAGGAACGTGTCGCCGAGGAAGGCCAATCTAGCCGCCACTCCTTCACTCATCTTCCTCGTCCGAGTGGAGATGTGAGATGTGATCGGGGCGTGTACTGTCCAGCGCCTGTTCTCTTTCCCTGTGCAGGATTTCCCCCACATGCGGGCACGCTCCAAGACGCTACGGAACGGGAGCTAGCGTCTGGCATGGGGCCTGCATATAGGTGTAGCTGAACCTCCCCCGTGCTGCTTCTCCAAAAAGCTACTAGAAACCTTTAAAAGTGACTCAGCCGACTCCCGAGGACAGCCCCAGATGGGGGAGGGTGTAGGGAGGAAGAGAAGAACGCGAGATGAGGAGAGGAGAGGAGAGGAGAGGAGGAGCGGCAGCAGCAACAGCGGTGATCCATACAATTGCGCTCCAATGTTTGTTGATCATCCCTGTAAGCGTGGGGCCCCCTTCTCGCATAGAAGTCTACAACATGGCATCCGCCTGCGGCGGAATAGGATTCGGCCATGTACCCGTAATCCCTGTAGCTAGTATGTGCTCATTGACGCAAGTTTGACGCGCTCACTCCGCGCACCTCGATTCACATGCGTAACGCGGCAGATAATGGGTACAGACATGCAGACTGCGGCAGGCTTAAGATTGTTGGCAGTGGCAGCGTAGTCGTATGTTAACAGCTGGGGGCAGTCGAGTGAAGCTGAACTCGAAGGAGCATATCTTATGTCGCACAAACGCTTCCCTGTTCAAGGTGAACCATGCGCTACGCAACTTTCTTGGGGCGATGCTTATAGACTCCGCCACACCTCAATACAACGTGTTTTACGCTCCTCGCGAAGAGGAGGACGGCAAAGGGGGGGACGAGGAGGACCAGGAAAGGTGAGAAGGGCAAGAAGAAGGGGAAGCAAAAAGCACGAATGGATAATGAGGTACCCAGAGATCATCGGGAGCCTCTGGAGGGCTGTGGAGTGGCAGGCGGAGGACAGAGAGGAACACACCTAGAAGAGGAGGATGACGGAGGGAGAGAAACGATATGAGCACACCTCACGAGAGAACACCCACCGTGTGCCGCCGAAGTTCGCTTCAGGAATGTCTGATCGGCTCGCCTATAGAACCCCTGCCCACCAAATCAGTTGCATCTCACAAGCAGTCCGGGCACGCCAGCTCCGCCTCCACCTCCTGTCACTCCTCCTCCTCCTCCTCCTCCTCCCAGCTTCCCTTTCGGGTGCACATCGGCTGCCCAGAGGCTGGCCCAGAGGTATCCAGGACGGCTCCAGAGATCCCCATTCAGCAGCACCGAGACGGCTCCAGCGCGCCAGAGGTCACAACGAGTCCCCCAAGGTGTCCCCCAAAACCAAAAAGGTAGTTAAGGACAATGCCTCACAGAACCTGTGGACACGGCTACTGGCACGCTAAGTATCACCGGACGAACTGCTGCTGTGCTCCTCAATCGCGACATCACATTGGAAATACAAAGTTGGCAGCTGGAGCATCATCAGCACCACCACCATCATCAGCAGCAGCATCATCATCAGTGTCATCATCGTCGTCATTATCTTCACCACCAGCATCGGCATCAGCATCAGCATCAGCATCAGAATCAGCATCAGCATCATCATCATCATCATCATCATCACCATCATCATCATCATCATCATCACCATCATATAAATCATAATCATAATCATGATCGTGATCAACATCATCATCAACATCATCCTCATCAACACCATCATCATTATCACCGTCGTGATCATCAAGCCACTAGCGCGCCACATTCATTAGTCGGTCAAGCTCATTAGTGGGCCATTCGCGTGCCAAGTCCACTCGTGTGCCACTCGTGGGGCCCCCAGTCGGTGGACCATATGAGACGCGCAACAAAAGCTATCGGAAACACCCCCTGCAGCTGCGAGAGAAATTGCCTGCATGAGCAACGTCTAGCGAACGCAACGCCGAACTACACCCTGCGAAATGCTTAAGAAATCATGGGTTAAGAAATTCATAATCTCAGATCTTGAATAAAAACCCAACATTTCTATTACAAACTTAGGATTTAGATTGAAACGTTAAGAATAATCGAGACTCTGGCCGAAAACTTAAGTTTTCTTAAGCATCGCCTAAGGTGTACGCTACATCGTTGCAACTCAACGTCCCCCATTGCGGTACTCGTGGTGTCCATCGTGCCCAGTGTCAGTGTCCCACCCTGGGTGGATTCCTGAGGGTCTCAGAACCCGAGACGGGCCCCAAACTGGTCGTCGTCGTCGTCCACGGCGTCGTCCTCGTCGCCGCCGTCGACGCAGCCGTCGCAGCCCCGGAGGGCCCTGGAGGGGCCGGACAGGGCAAGCAACGCACAACAACCTCTATCCTCGATCCGAGGATCGTCGGCGTCGCCGCCGTCACCGTGGTGGTGGTGGTGCTGGTGGTGGTGGTGGTGGTGGTGGTGGTGGTGGTGGTGGTGGTGGTAATGATCGTCGTCGTCGTCGTCGTCGCCGTCGTTGTCGCTGCCAGGGCGGTCGCGGGTCGCGAGGTGGGACTCCGCGGCGCCTCGTCGGCGTCCCCGTAGCCGTGCGCTTGCCTCCCGCTGCGGGAGGCGGCGCTGCCAGAGGCGGTGCCAAAGGGAACGCCCCCCGAACTTGGCTGCCACGATGCGCTACACGCAACCCGTAGCGTGTTGACACGGATCTCAACACGCAGACCGAAAACGTCGGTACGGCGCGACACGTCCACCAAAACGTGGGCCAATACGCCAACACGCAACGTATTGTCACACGGACGGTTTCAGCACGGTGCGTGTTGCTTTTCCAAACTGGCGTATCGAGGCAGCGAAAGCTCTCGAAGGAATCCTTGGGACTGACTGTAGGGTTCCTGGGCGGCAGCGGACAGGCCGCCATGGTACGTTTCAGTCCCAGCCCCGACGTCTTGGGCTTCTGCGGGCCACTGGGGTGGGTCGGGCCGGGCGAAAGGGGGGAATAGCAAAGGGGGGTTTGAGAATCAGTTCACGCGTAGCTTATGTTCCCGGCGCCTCCCAACGCCGGAGGCGACCATGTATCGAGGAATGGGCCCCTCGGTGGGGCCGAAACCAGCTGTATGCAGCCAATTTGGTAACCCCCCCTTTCCCAATCCCCCCCTTTCGTCCGGCCCAAGTGGGGGCCTCCGGCACCCGGGGGCGCCTCCGGAGGCGCCTCCGGGTGTGAGGATACCCCGGCCAGGAGTAGGAGTCACCTACCAGGCGGGGGGGCAGGGGGGGCTGGCTGCCTGCATGGTCCCTGGGCAGCAAAGGCGCGTTGCTCACCCATCTCCGCCCCCCCTCCTCCAGATTCTCACCCCCTGCTCCTGCTCGTGCTCGTGCTCCTGCTTCTCCTCCTACCCCCCCTCCTCCTCCTCCTCCTCAGCTTCTCCCTTACTCCTCCACCCATCCCCCTTCAGCTCTTTATTATCATGAATCTCATCCTGCTCCTCACCTGCCTCATCCAACCTTCTGCCGACATGCCTACCTAATGCTGCTGGTCTTCCTCCTCCGTTCCGTCCTCCTCCGTCATCCTCCCCCTATCGCTGCTGCTACTCCTTCTCATTCTGCCGCCTCCTTCGCCTGCCTCCTCCCTCCCACCTCTGCGTCGAGGGAAACCTCAAGAGACCTCATCGAACCCAGGCCCACCTGCTCCCCACTTGCCGTGTCGCGTCGCCGTTGCTGTCGCCGACGCCACTTGGGGCACAACACAAGACGATACCGCTATTCCCGAAACCACTCTGGGAGTGCACTGACCAGAATTTCGAAGCGAATCCAGCCGTGGCGACGAGGGGAAAGGAGCGTTATCAGGTGCTGCCAACTTTGGGGGGCACATTCCCTGCAGCTTCGGGCCCTCTTTTGGTACCCTGTCCTGCAAGCCCCGATCCTACCTCCCACTTATCGCCCCCCATCACGAAACACCTCAGGGCATCGGCATCCTTGCCTCCACCGGGCAATCGGCGTCGTTGCCGTCCGCGGCCGCCCGCCTGGAGGAAGAACACACACACACACACACACACACGCGCAGCAGTAGAACTCTCGAAGCTCCGCGAGCACCTCTCGGATCGGCGCTGCACCTCCCCCCCATCCCTTGCGCGCGGAGCGCGCCAGGGGGCGCCGCCACGGGGCTCCAGCGCCGTTCGGGTGGCATCCGGCGCGGAGCTCCGACGCTTTTTTTTGCTCACTCCGCGCTCCCTCCCATCCCTGGCCGCCCTGGCGGCCCTCGACCCCCCCCCCGACAGACAGACGGAGCACCTCCGCCCCCGCACCACGCTGGCGCCCCAAAAAGGACCATTATGGGCGCCGCCGCCCGCCCCCGCCGCCGACCGCGAAGGGGGCGCCTGTGCTTCTCCAGCTGCAGGGCCGCGGCGATGGCCCCCGCACCGGGCGGGGGTCTGCGGGCGCGCGCGCGGCCCGGGTCCCCCGCCCCGCTCCAGCCGCGCGCCGCCGTCGTCGCCCGCGTTTGCTCGAGCGCCCCCCGCTGCCTCCGGGCTCCTCCTTAAGCTCCTCTGGGGCGCGCGCGGCCCGGGCCCTGCCCCGCTCTCCCCACCCCTCCTCTGAGCAGGGACGGACCGTCCAGGCATCCCTATATAGTCCTGCCACGAAGTGTTCTTCTTGGAACCCCAAGATGTTCTGAGAACAACAAACACTGTTTTCTTAGAACATGAACCCCACGTGCTAGAACAAGAAGGACTCCGCCAGGCATGCTCTAAAAACATTCCGAGGGAACCCCAAGATGTTCTGAGAACAAAGACACTGTTCTTAGAACAGGAACCCCATGTGCTGGCACAAGGAGGACTCCGCCAGGCATGTTCTAAGAGCACTCCGAGGGAACCACACAAAAGGCTTCTCAGAACATGGTTTGGCAGGGCTATAGACGCAAGCCAGGACGCCTCGCCGCTGCTCGACTCCTCCCGCTCCTCCCCTGGGGCGCGCGGCCCGGACCCCGCCCCGCTCCGGCCGCTCACGTCCGCCCCCTCCTCCTCCTCTCCTCCTCGTCCTCGTCGTCGTCGTCCCCGTCGTCCTCGCCCTCCCCAGTTTCTCCTCCTCGTCCTCGTCGTCGTCGTCCCCGTCGTCCTCGCCCTCCCCAGTTATACGCGATAGGAGAGGAGAGAAGATGGTGACGCTCGTTTTCCGTAGATCACGGGTCACTCGTGGTGTCGCGATCTGCCAGGCCCCCTGGGGAAAGGATCCATGGTACGTTCGGCACCCTCTGGACGTGGCACTCCGAGTTACATCTACGAAACTCGGCACCCTCGGAACTCGGCACTCGGAACTCAGCGAATCTATGATCGTCACGACCAATGGCGGCGACATCACAAATAGCCCGAATCATATGGATATGCATCGGGCGAAGAGCACTAGAAAACCAAGCGCAGGGAGAATTGCCCCTAGAAGACAATCCTGGATCCGACTAAACATGCTGTAATTCAAAACCACCTCGAACTCGACCAGCGGGGGTAGGTCTGACCAGCTGCGTGTAATTGCTGGGTTGCGCTTTCTGCAGACGCTGTTGGCAGGCATGTTGTGCACAACAATCCCGACAAGAAAAGCACCGGCATGGCAGTCTGGGGCTCTCGCAACGGAGCTTGCCATGCCAACGCAATCAGCAACATGTATGCTCATGCGGTAAACGTGCACCAAAACGCAAGCAAAACGAACAACGGCCTCGACAAACCTCATCGTTCGTCGCTTCGATCTCACTTTGGGCTTACCGTTTGGACCCCAAGACGGCGTGCAAACGGGGGACGCTGACACTCTCCTGCGCCAAGAGCTGCTCGATCCAGCCCTCACGCCCTGAAGGCCTTCTGGAAACACTGGCGTCCTGGCACAGAGCCCTAGTGAGCTCCTCTTTCGCCTCCGGGAGCAATTATTTATTATACGTTTCTCTCATCGGGGACAGCTCGGCCTCGGTGCTCACAGCCTTCGAGCCCCTGGAGCCGCTACCAGCAGTGGTTAGGGCCCCCGCAGGTCACCATCCTTGCGCTCCTTTTCAGTCCTGCGTTTGTTGCCGATTGTCCTGCCGATCGCCTTGACGCTTAATGACTTCGATTCCGAACTGTTGCTGTCGTTGATTTCGACCCGCCGCTCTCGTCAGGTCAGTCTCCTGGTGCCAGAGCTGGCGCCCAACAAGCTTTCGCAACTTGAACGTCTTCCACCTGCTGTCAGATTTCCCCATCCTCCTGGCGATTCAGGTGTATGCATCGGGCCCAGCGGCCTATCCAGGGCACCACAGAAGGCTCTGAGAGCATTCCTGAACGCCCTGGAACGAGTTTAAGAGCAAGGAAAAGCGAACCCAACACCACCAGGGACCACCAGCGCGAGAAGCCAGGGGGGGCCCCCCTGGTGGTGTGGCCCCCCCCCCCCTCGCTCGAGACGTCCGCTGGCCCCAGCTCGGGAAGGCATCGTGGACCTCCTCGCTGGAGCTGGCCCCCTGGTGGTGTTGGTGTCGCTCCTCTTTCCCCCAAACGGCCAGGCGCAGGAGAGGTGAGGATAAGGAGTATATATGAGGGTATTACACGGGTTCTATTCACAGCTCCTCTGTCCCCCCGGACTTGCCCTCGCCCCGCCTGGTCGTCCCCGTGCCGAGCCGCACCTTCGGGCCGACCCGTCCAGGCCGACCACGGGGCCCGGGGCCCGGCGCGCGGCGGCGCAGTGCCGCTGGACCCCCCCCCTTCGGCGGCCCGCGGGGGTGGTCGGAGCCCCTGACGAGCGGCCAACCGATCCGTGTCCACGCGCTCGCGGTCCCGACGGTACGAGCTGTCAGTCCCCTGGCCTTCTGTAACTACACCCCCGCGGCCCGCGTGCGACAGCCCCCGGCCCGGGCCGTGGGGGTCGCGCGGGGCCGCGACGCTACAGAGGGAGGAAGGATGAGGAGGAGAATGAGGAGAAGGAGGCGGAGCAGGAGGAAGAAGAGGAGCTGGAAGAGCAGGAGGAAGAGAAGGAGCAAATCAGAGCAACGCAGCACCCGTGGTCCGATGAGAGAGCCCCCTTCCGACTAAGGGTGGCAGCCCAAGGACCAGTAATGGAGGGGGAAGAAGAGTACACAAACTCCAGCCACCCACCTGGCAGCAACACAACGGAGAAAACGGGCGAGGCTCGCCCGTGGAGTTGGCGCATTCGCGCCGTGCCAATGTTGGCGAAGCAGGTTCGCTCCACGTTCGGGGCGGCACAAGGTCACAATGTCAACGCATGGTCGGCAACGCATCAAATCGTCAGAAAAAAATGACACCGACATTAGTTCATGACGGCGAGCAGAAGAGGGAACAGAGAAGCACGAGAGAAGCGGAACTGGCCAGGATGATCCGGCAGCAACGTCATGATTTGGACGGGCACCCACAAATGATCATGTGAGGCATGCTGTCGGAATCGGCTTACTGACAAAAACAAGCTGGAATGCTTTGTCGCCCCGCGATATCGTCGGGTGGTGCACCGCACATTGCATATTGTAGGAACACCACTATTGGCGACGCGCGGTCGGGATTGGGAGGCGACGCGCTGCAGATCTAGAAAGGGTGGTTCAAGCTGATGCGGGGAGGGAGCCGAACCCACAAAAACGAGTCAGCAGGGCCGAGCGGATGGGGGGACGGCAGGAGGGCAGCGAGGGCGGCCTCATTTTTACTGTGGGACCTCGGGGAACCACAAGACGGCATGGTCGGGATCTGACACGGAAAACTGTTTTTGGTTATGAGTTGGAGCATGGGCGAGGATATCCAAATTGGACAACTTGGACTATGCCTCCAGCCACAGAGAGCGTCATCTGCTCCGTCGACCTCAGACGTGGCGGCGGCGCGGAACATAGCGGCGCGCGCAGCTGAGTCGAAAGTTCCGGCCTGCACTGGAAGACCCCAAGATTTGAGATTTGATGGGTACCGTGCGAGATGCTGTTGCCTGGCGCGTTGCGAGGTTCTGCTGCGCTTTCCTGACAGCGGCGAAGGTCAGCTACGTCGGAAAGTAAAACTGCATCGCGCGCGAGAGGACCTAGAAGAAGAGCATGTCGAATGAAAACATGGATTTGCAAAGCATCAGCCCTAGACTCTTGACGCCCTGACCTCTGGAGACACACTCGATCGACGGGGCGGTCCGGGAAAACTCGCGCCCATCCCGGCCCGGCAGAATTCCTATATACTTCCCGAGGACCTCGAACGCTTGGTCGTCGGTGCAGAGTCCGATCGCAGTCATCAGGCCCTTACAGATCGCTACGCTGACCTCTCCAGGCAATGCAACGCTAAACTTTTGCACGTGACTGCGTGGCCCGCCAGCAGCACCAGCCTTCTGCCAGGGTGACAACATGTCCTTCAACATCTGGGAGATGTTGGCAGCGGCGACACCGGCGTCGTCCGCGAACGCTGCCAACTGGCGCAAGCCTGCGGGAATCCACGTCTACATGCACGCGCCTGAAAGTGGGCGCGCCTTGCTTGATTCCGCGAGAGGCCAGGAATGAGCGCCCGCGGGGCCAAACGAAGCCCCCATCTATGATGTCGTTCGCGCACGGGGCCTGGGCGCTCGTGCGAACATTGGACGGGGGCCCCATGCAGGAGAGAATCGATAAGAAAATTCAATGGAGGGGACTGGGGAAGGCCGAGCTGGCTTGCTTCACCATGGAACAGCCCCGCGAACTCATGACCTTCTTGGGCGCACCAGGTTTACGCGCTGCTTTCGAAGTCCATGAGGCGTTGTTATAAGTAACGCCCGAGAATGCAGCCACGCTGGTTCGCCAAGACGACCTGGGCAGAAATCCTGGAGAGCTGCTTGTCAAGAGCAACTGAGGGTGGGGGGGGGGGGGGGCTCGGTGTCAAATGGAGCCAGCGCAATCGGTCCAGGGCTCGATCAGAACGGAGTAGGGACCGCACATAGAATCGACGACTGCCGCCCGCCCCCCCCGCCCGCGCGCGCGCAGTAGGAGCGCGGAAGCCCATCGGGTCAGCGGCGCGAGCCCCCGGTCCAAGAGATCAGTTCCTGAAGCCTCAAACGCTCCAACTTCCAACGTGCAACGCCTGGGCAGGGTTGCGCACAACCTCGCAGCAGTTGTCGATCCTCAGCCGATTCCAGAACACCCATGTGCAATTCGCCCCCTGCGCTCGGGCGGAAAATTGGCGACCTGTCTGGGCCAGCGATGGCCTTGCACGGGAAGAGACAGTCGGCGATCTCGTCGCCCCCATGCATGCAGCCTGGCATCTGCGCAATCTAGTCACGGCTTCTGGCTGGCGCTAGCCAGAGACGGGCTGCCGCCCATGCTCGGGAATGTCCTGCTGGCCGCCCTCGCGAATCAGTCGCCCATGTGGGGGCGAAAGCTTCGCGCGTCTCGCCGCGAGCCTGTCTGCCCGCAGTGAAAGGTGGACAGGGCGGGTCAGGCGCGGGCAGCCTTGCGAACTAGCCGCGCTCGCCCGCGAAGCGCGCCGCGCAGCGCGGAGAGACGCCAGACGACCCCCCCTTCCACTGACAAGCTCTCTTGCCCGATGCGATGCTACATGATGTTTTTGCTGACTCGCGTTGGGGCGTCTTTGCCCTGCGCGCTCTCGATTGCGGGGTTGCTGTCGAGCGGGCCAAATGTTTCCAAAAGCCCCTGCAAGTCTCCCGAAGAGCTCCTGCTTGGGCACCCGGGAAGGGGCCCAGCAGCCCGTCTTCGCTCCGGGCGAAGACGCGATGCAAGCGGGGGCGCGATCGGAAAGCTGGCCAACTTTTGAGATCGGGTCGGGGGCGAGGGGCGTTGGGCGGAGCTCGGGGAGAACAGAACTGTGCGTTGGTGCAGATGTAGATATGCGTGCTTCTATTCGACTGTAGCGACACATGCTTATCATCCTCCGGGAAACTTCGATTCCATGAGTGACGGGGCGCGTGCAAGCAGACTGCTCGCATCCACAGGTGCCAACAGAGTACAAAAGGGAAAGAACGGCCGCGTCGCTGCCCGAATGAATGGCCACCCCTCCTGATTGGAAGTGGCGCGACCCTCGGGCAGGAACGTTGAACATCTCCCAGCGCAGAACTGGCTGCAGCGCGAGCGGGCAGCAGGGGGCGACGGAGGGCCGCGCGTTGACGCCTCATTGTGCTGAGAGCGAGTGCGGGATCAAGAATCAAGATGAACGCTAGAGATCTGGAGAGTAGGAGCCGGAAGAACCACACAAAGGAATTTCACACAAAGGGTTTTGGCACCACCAACGGTGCAACGCATGTGCACACATGCGACTGGATCCCCAGCGATCCGAACCAGGGTTTGTGCACGGCCGCGCTCTAGGATGCAGTTGACACGCATGGTGTGGCAAGGCTGTCGGCGGCGACAAGATTCCCAAATCCGCTGCCAACTCACATTCCATGGTGGTTTGGCACAGCCAAACCACCGTGCAACGTTAGCTTGTTCATCCGTTGACAACAGCACGCGTGGCGGCAACAAAACGCAGTAGCGCGCGTGGGCATGCAGGGCCGGCGATGTGGCTGGCCGGCTGCCAGCGCGACTTCGGCAAAAGAGCCGATATCCACGCAGGGTCGTTTTGGGCGTGGCATCCGGCGCAACTACATCGCACTGCCAGGCGCCGCGGCCTTGCGATTGTAACGCCAGGCCCCGCGCGTTCCTCGAGGCGGGGAAAACAAGGTCTACACAAAGGAATCGCGCGTGCTCTTGTGGGGGCGGCGAAGACGGTCGTACACAAAGGAAATTCCTTTGCGTGCACCCTGCGTTGGCAGTTTAACCAGACCGTACACAAAGGAATTACGCGAGACTTCGTGGTACACAAAGGAATTCCAGCAACGCCCTTTGGGTTGCGCTCTTCGCGCGCGGCGACAGCTCCGAGCTGGAAAGGAAGGGGGGGCGGGGCAAGGCAAAGCAGGGGAAAAGGAAAAAGAAAAGCAGGGCGACAAAGAAGCGAAGGAAGCAACGGAAGGAAGCCAGGATGCGCGCAAGCGAAGTTAACAAAGCGCGCCGAGACAGTTGTTCGTTCGTTCGGTTGGCCGTGCGGCAGATGAATCGAAAAAGGACTGTTTGCTGCCTATCGAATGGACTTTTTGGGAATGAGACTCGCGCTCCCTTCCCAAGCCCCTTTCCCACGCCCCGTTGCGAACGCGCGACGATTTATTCTGGCCCGCGGGCAGAGGACTGCCAGTTGCTGGTGAGCGGTCTTTCCACCCGTCACGCGCCCCGAACACATGCGACCAGCTACCCGCCCTTGCCGCGCAAACCGCCAGCTCCAAAGACCGTCGCCACACCGATCCCCGCATCCGTGCCAGGTACCCTCTCAACGACGCTCCCTTCCGGCGTAAAACCAATAAAACCCTTTGTGTTTATGTGTTTTTTCCTGTTCTGAGAGAGGGCCTCAACCGCCACCAATTGTTCGGGACTGAGGTCGCCCAACGAGCTCGATGCATCTGCGGCGTTTGAAATCCACGCGCGGGGCGAGACGTGGATGGGGACAACTGCGCCACCGGAAGCGCGATCGAAGAAATACGAGACACCTGATCATGGGTCAACAACAGGGGCATGCTCTCTGGAAATCTAGATACGGGCTGCGCTCCTGGATGCGCGCGATCTGGATGCCTCCGCTCCTGGGCTGCGCTCCTGGGGCACCCCCTTGCTTCCTGGATGCGCGCGATCTTGTGCCCCTGGGAATGCGCTAGTGGACGCGCTATGTTGCTGGGCAACGCCAGGGAACAATTTGGGCCCTCCAATTTGAGACACAACGCGCCGAGCAACCAGACTGGGACGCCCTCTCCACATGCGCAGGGGGGGGCGCCCAAGAGGAACACGCGTGAACTTCTCGGGCCCGGCAGGGGGCGGAGACTTGGGGGGCCCCGTCCGACGCGGGGGCCCCGGGCGGGGAGGCCCCAGAAGCACTCGAGGAAAAGCTGGGGCAAGAGACGGGCGCGCACGCACCGCGCGGAATTCCCATGCCAGGAATGCTCGATGTCGAAACTGTTCATGCGCTGGTCGGCGTGGGAGACCCCTGGGTGCTCCTGGCGTTGGCGATGATGGACGTGGCCTGCTCGGGCGCGATGCCGGACTGGTTGGCGCCTGCCCCGGCGTTCGGCCAGGAGTGGATTCTTCTGCCCGGCGGGGTCGGGGGCGCCCCCCCCTGCGGCGGCGAGGAACTTGAGCTCGCGAAGGTGATCGCGTTGCTCTTGGCCAGGCTGCGCTTTGATGGCGACGCGCGCTGGGCTGCTGCGCGTCAGGAACACGGGCGCCTAGCTGCGCGCGCGGGCTTCCACGGTCGCCAACCCATGCCTTCCACGAGCAATGCTGATCACGTTCGCGATCGGAGCGGGGAGGAGCGGAGAGACGACGGCGAAACGTCTGGGGGCCAGCAGACGAGATCCCAGTCGAGGAAGCAAGAGATGCCGTAGACCCGACCGCGTGCATGCGTTTCTCCGCGCACACGCGGGGAGCAGCTCAGGTGCCATATTCGGAAAGCGCGCGCTTGTTGGTATCGAGGTCGTTGAGCCTGGCATTCATCTGCCTCGGGGCCGCGTCGCGCGCGGCGAGAGGCACCTGGGCCACCTGGGTGCCAAGGGTCACCGTCTCGATCTTCGTCAGGCGGCCAATGTTGCCGTAGAGCTGGTCGAGGATCTCCTGGGCGCCCTCGCCAACGGTGGCCATGGCGGGAAGCTGGGAGAGAAAAGTCCAGGCGACCGAGCACGGCCCTCGGGAACGCCCCCGCAAGGAAGCTGCCCACACTGGTGCGTGGAAGTGAATGGTGCCCTCCTGCAGCCCGTCCTCCTCCTCGGCCTCGGCGCGGGCCATCGGGGCCGCCATGCGGCCCCCGTAGGACGGCAGCGCGGCCTGGGGTGGGCGAGCGGCTGGAGGCACCTGCGACGGCGCGGATCCTACCTGCGCCGCTGGGGAATCACAAAGCTGCCCGACCCTCAAAACTCCCCTGGCCCGCTGCTAGGGGAGGGGGCGCACCTCGACCCTCGAGAACGGGGTGGCCCTGTCCAGGGTGGACCGAGGCCTCGGGTTGGGTCCTCGGGCACGCCGATGCGCTTGAAGGATCTCGAGTCCTGTCCGAATGGGGGGGGAGGCACGCGCGGGCCAACTTCGAGCCGCGCCCCCGACAACCCCGCCCCCGCACTTCACGCACAACAGCTGCTGAACATTCCGCCTGCTCGCAATGGCACCAGGGATTTCACAGCCACCGCCGACAACCGAACCCTGGACCGCAACAGCTTGGTGACCCTTGGAGCCCATGCGGAGCTTGAGGAGGAAAGGACGGGGACCCGTACAGTCATCCGTCAGCGGCGAGGTCCCAGGCGAGGCAAGGTCTAAACACTGTTTGCACTGGAAACCGGCATGACCGTAACGCCAGTCATGGAAATTGCTCGTGCGCCTGTCCTGAGAGGCCTATATCGAGGGAGCCTGGGTCACCTTCCCTCATTCCGAAAACAGGGTAGCACTGCTGCAGCAAACTTGATGAAACTGTGCTCTGCTCCGGGCCAGCTCTGCATCCTAGGGAAAAAATAGGCGTGTACGCCGGCGTGTTATTTGGGGCGTGTGCGCCAGCTGCTTTGTTCGCAACTGCGTACCTGTATTCATCACCCGTTAAAGTCCCAACTGTCTCATCCGAGCGATGCGCCTTCACGTGTCGAGCGACAATGAGATTGACAGTGCCAGGGGGGGACCGCGGAAACATTCGAACAGCTGCATACTTATTCGAAGAGCGGATCTGCGCTTCGACTTTCTTTTGTCCCTGAATGACTACGGCCTGCGAGTCTCTCTGTCAGGTGCTCAGCAAAGGCAGGCGCTTTGGGGAGGGAGCCTGCTACAGGGCCTCGAAGGATGGCCAGCGGCTCCCCACTCCCCGGCCTCGGAGACACATAGCCCACGCGGCCCTCCCGAGGCCCCTGAGAGGCTGCATCGATCGTACACTTGGGATGTCTTTGCCATCCCCCCCGAAATGCAACACACGCTAGACGCACACGGGGGGGCACTACACTAGGATCATAGGCGAAGAGACCTCTCGTAAACATCAAATCATCGCTGTCCCTAGCTGTCTGAAGAAAGTCTCGAAGACGAGGATGAAGAGACGGAGGAGGAGGAGGAGGAGGAGGAGGAGGAGGAGGAGGAGGAGGAGGAGGGCAACGCCGCTGTGGCGGGAAAGGCAGAATGGCAGGTGGAGGAGGAGGAGGAGGAGGAGGACGACGAGGAGGAGGAGGAGGAGGACGAGGAGGAGGAAAACCAAAGAGCAAAATCCCGCGTTACGCGGCTGCGGAATTGTTCTTCGCCTACGACCATCCCCCGCCGACCTCCAGGGGGGGAGGCCCCTCCCCGCCATCGGGACGCCTCACGGGCGTCTCCAGCTCGGGGGGGGCGATGCCGCCGAAACCCTGGGCGCGCGCGCGGGCGTGGTGGGCAGCGCGCCACCTAGGGCGCCTTCTCTTTCTAAGGGCTGGGATGCTTCTCGCAACTCGACTTGCGGGGGTCAAGGCAGATAAGCCGACATCGAGGCAACTCCAAGGAAGACATTCAGATAAATCTTGAGAAACATCCAGGAAGGACATCCAGAGAGGGCTTCCCAGGAAGGCAACTCCAAGGAAGGCGCCCAGGAAGTACATCCAGGGATGTCCAGGTACATCTCGACAGACAGTGCAGGCGCCAGCGCGAGCCGAGGGACAGCAGAGGTCGCTCCACCCTGTCATGACTCTCAGATGGCAGGGAAGCCTCTTGGACGGACCCAGGGGCTTCCCGCAGAGCTTCTCGGAAGGCAGACCAGATCATTGGATACGATTTTTGTTCGGTCGCGAGCGGTAGCGACCGATCGGCACTGCAATCGGTCGCGACCGATCGCGACCGATCCCAGAATCGCTCGCGACCAGTCGCCACCGCTGGCGACCAGTCGCCACTCCAACCGGTCGCGACCGACACCGAAATTCACAGCAAAATCAGTAGCGACCGATCTCGTCGGTCGCGGCTGGAAAATTCCAGTATCCAATGATCAGGAAGGGTGGGTTGTGAGAAGCCTCGTGTCCTCGAAGAAGGGCTCCCCCCCTCGCGCCCTCCCCTGTCATGATTCTCAAAAGGCAAGGGGGGCCCTCTTTGGCGGACCTGAAGGCCTCCGGCAGAACTTCTCGAAAGGCAGGGGGGGGTGAGGAGCTCCCAACGATAACAACGATAAGCATAACAAAACTCAGTGTGATCGTTGTAATCGTTGTCGACCGTTGTGATCGTTTTGATCGTCGTTATCGTTGTGATCGTTGTCTTCTTAAGTGGGTTCCCCCCCATCGCGCCCTCCCCCTTGCGCGCGCCGAGGGGCGCCCCTCCAGCGCGCGCGCGCGCGAGCCGCTGCTGGCCGGCGCGGCGTATGGGGCGAGCCCAGTCGAGATGGGCGGAGCGTAAAGTGAAGGCTATTGTTGATGATGCCACGACAATGGACACTCTAACAATCCGAGCATTGAATTAAAGATGTGTTTACAATGTGTCAAACATGTTCTAAACATGTTTCAAACATGTTTGTAACATGTTAAAGCATATTTGAAACATCTTCTAGACATCCGGAAATTATTTGGCAGCATGCTTCCTCTCCATTAATCGGCTTCCACAAAGCTATTGTCCACAAGAAACCTTTCACAACAAACCCAACCCTGCGACCCCAGGACATCCATTGATTTTTGGTGTGGGAACGTCACGCTTCCCATGGCAGAACTATCGATGTCCAAGGAACCCAGGGCACCCTGGAGGCAAGCGGCGTGGCTCTTGGCATGGCCCCCCGCTACATGAAGAGCGCATCATCATCCATGTGCGGCGCGTGTGTTCTTTCACCGGGCCGTCTTCACGCAGAAGTCCACATGCCACACACCAAATTGTAGGACAGGCCATGGGCCCGAAAAAGGCTGGGTCTCAAGCGCCGCCTCGCGAACGAGCCCCTGCTCAACGACAATGTCAGCCTTGCCTGGCCTTAGCTCAAGTGCAGATGCGCAATGGAGTCAATCAATCACAATCAGGCTCAAGGACCACGGCGACGCGCACATGTTCCCCTATGTGCTACATGTCAAGCGTCGAAACACGGATCGCCAGAACACACTGGTCTTTCAAGTCTAAGTTCCATTTACATCGGAACGGCATTGGGTAAACACGTCACAGCCATGTATGTAGATCCTGGTCGTGGCAACTTGGTACTTACAAGCAGCTTCAGCAAGTGATTCCAAGCCGCCCTGGGATGCCCTGCAAACAAAAACTATCATAGAAGCTGCTTGTTGTCTGCAGCAGCGAGAGCCAGACGGATGGAACTCCACATAATCCCGTCAACATGGGGTCCCACACCCCTCCAGGATCCGTCCTGGCAAATTTTCCTATACGCGTCTGGCCCTGCTGACAATAGTCTCCAGAACTGTCCCCACAATCTCCGCAGCGGAAGCGGCGACGTCGTCGCGGTCCTGAGGGGCACCCCTCTCCTCCGACGTCAGAACTTTTCACGACGCGGCCGCCCAGTACAGCAGGTTCGTGCCAGGACGGCTTTCGCTTTGGTGTCTGACACCGCGTGATCGTTCGACCTTGAACGATCGCAGCTTGCCGATAGCACGGATACTTCGACATCAAATTTTGAACGCTCGCGCCCTGGCCGCGGCGCGAACCTACCATACATCGACCCCTGCCCCAGGGCTGCCTTTAACCCTTGTTGCTTCTTGGTGGTCCTTGAGCCGCAAAGCTCGGCCGCGAGCGCGGAGCGGAATTGAGAAGAGGTGGGCCTTCTCAGAAGGCTCCCCTGATCATCGGATACTGGAAATTTCCATTCGCGACCGACGAGACTGGTCGCTACCGATGCTGCTTCAAATTTCGGTATCGGCAGCGACCGGTTTGCTTCGAAATCGGTCGCGACCAGTCGGTCGCAACCGATCGATTGCGATCGGTGTCGAATGGTCGCGACCAGTGTTGGGATCGGTCGCGATCGGTCGCGACCGATTGGAATGCCGATCGGTCGCTACCGATCGCGACCGAAAAACAACATGATCCAGTGATCTGGGTCGGAAGTCCCCTGGCCTTCTGCTAAGTTGTCTGAGCCTTCCCGGAGACACAGAAAACTTCTTCGAAGGCGCGAGGGTTTCCGAGACTTCCCGCCGCCTTCTGAACAAAAAAACCTTCTCCTTCGCAGTCCCCCCCCCCCCCTCGCCCGCCGCCAGAGAAGCGGCCCTCAGGGCGTTCTCTCTGGTGCCGCGGGGCCAGAATTAAGGCGGGCGTGTCCCCCTACAGGGGGATTCTGGACGAAAAATAAAACACATGCACAACATATTCAAAACATGCCCAACCTTACTATTTTTCAAAAAAAAAAAAAAGAAGCCCCATACTAGATTTTGACTACTTTTGAATATATTATTCCCCCTGTAGAGGGACATAGGCCCGACTTGAGGCCAAACCGGCCGAGCGGCCGCCCGGACGCGGCGCGCGGCAGCACGAGCGCGGCCCCCCGGCAGCCTCCGCTCGGGCCTCCGAGAGCCTCTCCGCGAAGGCCTCCGGCGGCGCCCGGAGGCCTCCGGAGGCCCTCCGGAGGCCTGCGGCCTGCCCGGAGGCCGCCTCGGCTGCCGGCCTCCGAGGGCCTCCGGCGGCCTTCGGAGGCCTCCGGGGGGCCTTCGGCGGCCCGCGGGCGCCTTCGGCGGCCCGCGGCCCGCCTTCGGAGGCCGTCGGCGGCCGTGGGCGCGCAGAGCGCGCGGCGGGCTCGCGCGCGCGCGGGGAGGGCGCGCCGCACGGCGCGCGGAGCGCCGCAGCTGGAGCAGCAGCTCGCGGGGCTGCGGCTCGGCGGCCGCGCCTGCGAGGCGCGGGGGGGGGTCGTGCAGTCGGCCTCGATGGGACAGGACACGCGAGAGGGCACACGAGACCCTCCCGAGAGGGCCACATCGCCATAGGAGTGTAAGAAGGTACGTGTCGCGAGGCACAGGCCACAAAGGGCACCCTTGAGCTGGCAGGGTCGACCTACTGATCCGGGCCGACTGTGCATCAAGAGGAAGAACACGGAAACCCGACACCAGCACCACCAGGAAGCACCAGTGGGAGGAGCCAGGGGGGGGCCGCCCTGGTGGTGCAGTCCCCCCTCTCGCTCGAGACTCACCTACCCCCATCTCGAGGAGGCATCGTGGAACTCTTCGCTGGAGGTGGCCCCCTGGTGGTGATGGTGTCGCTTCCCCCTACCCCTGATCAAGTTTTTACTGCGTCTTTCAGCGGCGAGCGAGGGCCTCTGATAAGGACAAGGCCTGCTCAGAAGGCGGCGGGCCTTGTTAGAAGGCACCCGGCCTTCTGAAAGAAAGGTTGTTGCTTGACGTCTTGGGGGGAAGGCTCAGAAAACTTCTCAGAAGGCCCGCGGACTGCGGAGCCTGCTGAGGAGGCCCGCCCCTTCTCGCTTCCCCCCGGGCTCGCCGCCGATTCTTACATAGGACTGCACCAACTGTACACTGATCGTGGCCAGGATCGGTGTGTCCGCCCTCCGGCCTTGAGCAAGAAGGCATATACAGTCGGACCTAGGCCAGAAGCACATCCCTCAAGAACATGAGACCCTCCGTCGGCCAAAACAAGCTGAACATCCAAGGGGGCCCTCCCAAGGATGCACAAACACATCCAACAAACACCGAGAACACTGGGATAACCTCCCCGAACCGACCTCGATCATATACCTCGGTCCGACTGTACACCTACACTGATCGTGGCCAGGCTCACCCTGGGCTCAGGATCGGTGTATACGCCCCCCTTGCTTCGGCAGGAAGGTATGTACACCGATCCTGGGCCCAGGATCGGCCTGCCCAGGAGACGTCGGCGAGAATTACGTCGGCGACGTCGACGTGAAGCAAAACGGGATCCACATCGAGCCGTATTACCGATGAATCGGCGATGCGGAGCGATCCTTCGACTCCATCTGGGAGACGTGGAATCTTGCGATTTGTCAACCGACAAGAAGCTGGGCACGGAAAGTTCGCCTGGGGACGCGCACGGTTCCCTCATTGAGCAAGGACCGACCGTCCCAGCATTCTTATAGGCCTACCACGAAAGTGTCTCAGAACCAGATAACGTTGAAAAACAATAACGAAGCTCTTAGAACATGAAGACGAAGTAATGAAACAAGACAGTCTCAGCCTGAAATGTTCGAATGATTGTTTTGTGCAAGCCGCAAACGGTTCTTAGAACATTCTGCAGTGGGCCTGTGGGCAAGCCAACACGCTTCGCCACTGGTCGGGTTCTGACGCCCGCTGAGCTCGCTGGGGGAGCACAATTTTCGAGCGCGGCGACGCGCAGGCAGCACGGAGCGCTATGCAGCAACAACCGGGACGCGGCAAAGCTCGTTGTATAACCCCTGGGGCCTATTTTGCATGTTCCGCGATTGCGGGCGTCACCGGCCACGCCCCCCCCCTCCAGGTGGCGTCATGTTCCGCGCCCGATGCGTCTGGGAATGCGTAGGGACGACCGAGAAAGTAGGAGCAGCATGTAGGTGGCGATCTGAACCATAACGCCTGTGTACACCACAGTGCTCGCGTTCACCACATTGCGCGTGTGCACCACAGCGCCTGCCTACACCGCGACAGCCGTGTGCAACGCAGCGCCGGTGTACACCACAGTGTTTGCGCGCGTGCACTACAACGCCTGTGAGCACCACAGAGACCGTGTACAACGCAGCAGCCGTTTGCAACACACCGCTTGTGTACACCACGATGCTTGCGTGCACCGCAGCGCCTGCGCACACCAAAGCGCCTGTGTACACCACAGCATCCGCGTGCAACGCAGCGCTGGTGGACACCGCAGCGCCCGCATGCACAAGACAGGTAGGAGGAGCATGTCGGTGAGGATCTGCAGCGGACAGCTAAACACCACGCAAGGGGAGTGCTGATAATGACATGGAATGTGTGTCCCTCCTCCCTCCTGCTGCTTCTCCTCCGCCTTCTCTTCCTCCTCATCCTCATCCTCGTCCTCCTCCTCCTTCCCCTCCTCCGCCTCCTCCTCTCCCTTCCGCTTTCCCCCCGTCGTGCAGGTCGGTGCTGCAGCGCACGTGCGCATCTCAGCGCGCATACGGTGGAGTTATATATATATATATATATATATATATATATATATATATATTAGGCCCTGCGCGCGCGCAGGGGGTTCATGCATGCATTCAGAGCAAAATGGGCGCCAGGCCGATGCTGCCCGCGCGCCCACGCGGCCGCCAGCTGCGCCTCCAGGTCCATCAGGAGGGCTGACGTCGCGTCGCGGAGCTCGTCCGATGCCGACCGCCATTGGCCCGAGGCCTCCTCGGGCGCGGTCGGGCTCGGTTCCGAATGGCGCCCCAGTTGGTCTTCCGCCGAGAGGTCCGCGCAAGCGTCCAGCTCAGCCACGGCCTCTGCAGCAACCACACTGCTGTGCGTGCCCTCGGGCTCCGCGATGTCTGCTGCGTCGCCCCTCGGGGCGGGCTCCAGGGCAGCCGCGCCACGGGCCTGCGTGCCGCCACTGAGCCTCAGCGCATCGCCACCTGCATCGCCATACAGCGCGTCGTGCTCCGCGTCGCCAGGCGCCTCGCTACCGGCAGCCTCGGCCAGCCCGATGGGTTCCGAGGTGCCTGCGGTGCCGCCGCTCTGGGCGGCCTCCTGGGCGAACCCGCCGCGGGCCCGCGCGCCCTCCTCCGCGTCGTGGAGCTTCCCGAACTCGCCGCGACCCTGGGACTGCGACTTCGGTGGGCTGAATCCACCTGTCCCAGGGCCGGGCTCCGCCGCGGCGGCGCACAAGAAGTCGGCCTCGCCGCCGAGCTCCGCCGCCAAATCGGCCATCAGCTGGTCCAGGTCGTCCTGGACGCCGACGGCCCCCAGATCCGTGTCGATGGCGTCGGTCTGCGCGTGCTGGCAACCCTCGCTGAGAAGCGCCTCCTGCATGGGGGCGGCGTAGGCGATGAGGTCCGCCAGCAGCTGGTTGGCGTTGTGCGGCGTGTGGGGCACGCCGCCGCCGGGCGCGCCAGCGCCGATGGGGCCGAGGGGGACGAAGGGAGGCGCATCCGCCCTCAGCGCGCCATCGGCCGCCGCGCGCCGCTCCAGCCGGGGTCCCCGCTGCGCAGATCGTAGCTCCGCCGCGCTGGCCGCCACGATGTCCATGCCCTGCGCCTCGGCGTGGAGGGCGACATTGCGGCGCAGGCGCTCGAGCCAGGATGGGGTCCACCCTCCCAGCGTGGCCTGCAGCGCGGGGAGCATCGCCTGCAGCCTATGGGCCACCTCGTCATCACCGATGACCGCGCCCAAGGCCTGCTCCGCGGCCTCCAGACGGGCCCGAGTCCTCCCTAACTCGCCCGTCAGCCGCCGAACGGCGTTGTCGGCGGACCACTTAGCCCACTGCCGCCCCGCAGCACGCTGGGCCGCCGAACGCCTTGGCGCGCACTCCGCGCCATCCCGCGCCATCCTGGGTCCCGCGCGCACCCGAAAGCGGGCGGAACCTGGCCTTGAGCCAAAATGGCTACGGACTACGGTGGAGGTTTTGGATAAGGATGCCTTCGATAAGGAATCCAGGGTCGGCCAAACGTCGGCCTCCCACCTCGCCTTGACAGGAGAAGGGATGCGCCAGGGTCTGGGCCCCAAGAAGACGTTCCTTATCCAATGCCGCCGCCGTACCAGAAAAATGGCCGGCTGAATCAATCCACTTGGTTCTCGGACGGCCAATTTTGCGAAAACCTTCTGGACGCAGATGGGAGAAGTTGGGATGATGCCGGCAAATTCAAGAGGACTCGTAGATTCCAGAGGCGCTCCTTTGTCCGTACGGATTCTTTGCAAAAGCCAAATCTAAATTATTGTTTCGGTGGCATGAACAACGCTTCAGTTTGCCATTCGGATTCCTTATAATACAACAACGATGTTCTGTTGCACACGCATGCTGGGGTGCACACAGGCGCCATGGTGTACAGAGGCGCTGTGGTGAACACTGGCGCTCTGCTGCACGCAGCTGCTATGATGTATAGAGGCGCTGTGATGTACACAGGTGCTGTGACGCACGCAGGCACTGTGGTTCACACAGGCGCTGTGGTGCAGATCGCAACCTACATGCTGTTACTACCCATCCTCAGTCATTCCTTGGCAATTCCAGACGCATAAGGCGAAACGTGACGTTACTGGCTCCCTTCCCCCCCTGGTGAAACCCGTTATCGCCCCAAAATAGAAAAAAGGCTCAAACGAGGAAACGACGATTTGGGCGGCGACGACGGGAGCAGAAGGACGTGGGAGGAATTCGGAATTCGAGACCTCCTGCTTCCTGGATCCCAGCAGAACCGGCAGCGAACCACCTGGAAACGAGGCCGAGGTTCTCGGCCAAACCGATACGCCCCTTCGGGGGGAGGCCCGAGGAGAACGAGGGCGCCGTGAGGACGACGATGCAGGCGACAACCCACGGCCACGACGGAGGCGACGACCGCGGCGATGGCGGCGGCGACGACGGCGCCGCCTATGGCCGCGAAGCCGCGGGGGGGCCGCAGAACGACCCCTGTGCCGGCGCCGGCGTCCAGGAAAGCAAGCCTCGGCCGCCGAGGGGCGCGGGCGGACCGGCCAGGGGTGGCGCGGCTCCGCCCAGGCCTCCCTCGCCGATCACATCTTCCGTCCCCAGACCTCAAGGCCCGAAAAATCGAGGATCAATAATAAGAGAACAGTCTCAGGATAAAGGCCTCCTAGATGGGAGCCGAGTAGACGGGGTCGGTGGATCGTGCAGCATCGCCGAGGCACCGGCGATGCAGCGACGATGCATCGTCGATGCACCGCCGACGTCGGCAGTGCATCGGCGACGGCGGCATGAGGAAAATCGGGCCCTCGTCTCTGGGAGATCCGGAGTCCACACGGAGCATCAGGAGGACCAGGAGATTCTGGAGCTTGCCATCATCCTGCCTTATCCCTCTTCTGAAAAGCAGAAGTTTTGGGAGTGCGTCTTTGCCTCTTTGGGCCCCCATGTGCCTCCCAAAGTGGGATCCGAGTAGGACGGGGGCGGAAGATCGCGATGCATTGCCGATGCATCGCCGATGCATCGGCGAAGTCGGCGAAGCATGAACTTCGGACCCCACATCGAGCCGCATCGCCGACGCATCGGGGATGAAGCGCGATCTTCCGATCCCACCAACTCGGACCCTGGTTGGGAGGCCTGTAACCTTCCGTTTTTTTCGCAGGATGGTCCAGGATACTCCTTAGTAATCCCCGCCGAGAAAAGTGCACACGTCCGCGCGATACCAAGACTGAAGCACATCGTGCAAGAGGTCTTCCCTCACGGTTAGGGTGTGCTCTGGGTGGTGCCAGAAGTGTCCCTGGCCAGAGAGGCCCTCCAGAGCACCCCTCGCGATACCCAGACTGCCCCAGGGGCTCAAAGATGAAGCCAAGAGCCAGGGACACGTTGGGCCAGGGATCCCTTCAGCAACTGCCCACCGCTGGACGCCGTTCCTAGGCCCCGGGACCCTCAAGGAGAATGACCAACTATGAGTGGCTGGGAATCTGGGACCTTGGCGGCGTGCGGAGGACGGCGGAGCAGAAGGGGTAGGACCAGACCATATTTCGTCATGGTCGAAACCTGATAGGACCACTTGCTGGCTGTGGGTCGTTCCCAGTTTCTCTCCCATGGATACCGACAAAAAAACGCAGCTAGACGCTGCCGACACACTCGCTTAGGGAACAGCGAGACAGCATGGACGACCGCGGCCGCTAACATCGGGCCCTGTCAAGCAGGCCCCGAGCGGCGTTTACATGACCGTCTCGTTTTCAGTTGTTGTCCTCGAGAGAATGCGCCCCAGCAAGACGGGAGGAGCATTGTGACACTTTGCCACCTGTGAGCCTCCCAGTGGCGGGCCCTCGTGCCTACGGCATCAACATGGCGTCCGGGAGGGGTCCGAGGAGTTATCGTGCTGGCAAATCTTGGCGGCGCTCCTTGAAGAGCAGATCGTGAGGATGTCTCGGGCGAGGCGCTCACACTCGGACTTGCACTTCGAATTCACGCTCAGCTACTCACAAAGGGGAGTGCCAACGTATGATATGAGCAGACGGGGGTCCCCGCGTCGAATGATTATGTTGGCGTCCATTTACGGCGAGCCCAAAGAAAAACAGGGTGAAAGTAGAGTGCGCATGCTGCCTCGGGGGCTCGGGTAGGCGGTGTAAGTGAAGGGAAAGACTGGAGAAGGCAGGAACGGGAACAGGGGCCGAGCAGTGAGGGAGGTTCGGCTCGGTTGGGGATCCGCGGGCTTCGTTGCCGAAGAAACGCTGCACTACGTCACCCGGGCGTCCGGACGTCGTCTGCGCGACGACCGATGGCTGGCCAGGTCGGTCTTGCTGGCTGCCTGGCCGATCGTGCTCGGCCCGCGCTGCTCCTACGGACGACCCGCCGCCTTCGGCGCAGGAAGAGGGTGATTTGTTATGTGTCGCGGCGGTGAGGATCCACGCCGCGTTGGCAGGCGGCAGAGGGATACAGTTAGGCGGAACTTGGAAGAAAAATGAAACATAGTCGAATAAAAACCAAAAATGCTCACAACAGCATGAAAAAACGTTTCCAGGGTATTCTTTGCCTATTTTTGATTATGACTCCGCATGCCCGACTAAGGACATCACGGGGCCTCATGGGGCACAGCAGGCGACGGGAGAGGAGCACGCTCAGAGGAAGCGGAGGACCCTGGAGTTCCGAAACGCTTCGGTGACAGACCGTGCGGTGACAGACCGTGCGGTGACAGACCTCACCGCACGGCCCGTCACCGCACGGTCTTGGGACCCCGGAGGCCCCTGTCGCCCGAGACGCCCTCGGAGAAGGACCCGAGTTCCAAAACCGTGTGCTGACCCCGAATCCCCACGTGACTCACCGCACGGTGTGGTCACCACCCCGCTTGGGGACCCCCGAGAGGACAGACGGCCACCGAGCCAGGCTCACCGCGGCCCCGGGGGGCGGGCGCAGCTCTGAGGGGGGCGGCCCGCCGAGGGAGGCGCGGCGGGCTCTGCAGCCGAGCGCGTGCGCCTCCGGGGGCCCGCCGGCGGGGGCCCCGTTGGGGGGACGCGCCCGAAGGCGGCGCCCCTCGAGCGAGGCCCGTGCCAGTCGGGGTCGAAGTCTCCGCGCCCCCCGCGTGCTGAGAGGGGCGAGAGCGCCGAACGTCTGGGCCGCGCCCTCCGTATACCCCCCCCGCCGCGGCTCCCTCCCTGCCCTCCTTGCTCCACTCTCCTCGCCCCTGCCGCCCAGATCCGCTCCATTCATCTGCCCCTTCTGCCCCTCCGCCTCCCCCTCCCAACACCCACAGACCCCATCTGGGCCCTACTCCTCCTTCCGCAGCCTCGTACTCAAACTCATCCGTCTACATCTCGTTTTGTCCCCTCTTGGTCTTCCCGCTCCTGCACACACACACACACTCACTTCCTCCTGACGAGCTGACAAGCTGAAGGCAGGAGTTTCCATCGTATGCTGCCCTCACTCCTCCTCCTTCTCCTCCTCCTCCTCCTCCTCCTCCAGCTTCCTCCTCCTCCTCGTCGTCGTCGTCGTCCTCCTCCTCCTCATCTGCCGCCTCCCTCTCCAACTCCTGCTCCCTGCTCCTGCTCCGCCTCGTCATCTGTCTTCCTGGAGTTTTCTTCCTCTCGTTGGGCGCCCTGGGATAAGGTCGCCTTCGGCGGATCACGACGGGCCGGAGATCGAGCTCGGACAATTCGGGAAACCAACGCGCAAACAACCCACTCGGACGCTTACGCACGCGCCACGCCTGCCCGCATGCGATCGCTCGCACGACCACTGCCTGTTGACGCCCCAGCGTGCCCGCCCAAGTTGGAGCCGTCGGGGGGTCTGAGGCGGCCAAGCACAGCAAGAAGGGCTGGGCATGTTTGAGCTTCTGGGTGTTCGGGATGGTCTGCTTGCCTTTCTCGGCCTCCAGGAGCCGCTTTCGGACCCCTGGACTGTGAAGAAGTGACACGGGGTGAAAAAGTGCTCCAAGTGGGCCCCGGGGGACCGACTTTGACAAAATTTCGCATCATCCCCCCTTCCTGACTCACTGTCTTTGAGCAGCGGCAGTCCCGGCATTCCTATAGGCCTGCAACGAAATTCTCTTAGAACTCCAAAGGTTCGAATGATAAAAGCAACACATAAGCCCGATGTGTTAAAACACTGCTCGAAGAACACTTCGTGCATACCACAAAAGGTTATCAGAACATTATTTGGTGGATGGTGGGCCTACAGGCAAGCCAAGACGCTTCGCCACTGCTCGATGCCTGGGGTCCAAGCCAAATCGGACCCCCCCGGCCACCTCCAGGGCCCAATCACCACGACCGGCCACAGGAATCAGGGCGCCCTATAGGCAGGATGGACCGCGCGCCCCCGTCACGCGGGCACGCGGCAACATGGACTGTACGGGCTGGGGAACCTGGCAGGCGGTCCGTCGGGGACACGTGACACTCGAGCGTGGTGGACTCGAGCTTGCCAGACGGCGCTGTCAGAAAAACGACGGGAATTAGTGCCTACAAAACTTGGCGCAAACTCCCCCTGCAAACATTTCACGACCACATGGCCGTCAGACTTCTTCATGCCACGACATCCAGGAACTGCGCAAACAAGAGTTCCTGCAAACTACATACGACAAGATCGTGTCGTGACGAACCTGGAGTTGCTTGCAGACACCGCTTGGATCCTTCAACCTTGAACGCTTGGCGGCTTTTCGAACGCCCGATATTTTCCCATGTTGGGCGGTTCTGGGCCAATAGCGGCACTGCCGCGTCGGCACGACACGAACCTACAGTATATAGAGGAAAGACACACGGCATAGCCAGAATTTCTTTGAGTTCCGCGCGGGTTTCGTGTTTCGGCGCTGAACCCCCTCTCTGGCGCGCCAAGCGCCCCAGTGGCCGTGCTGGAGGCGCCGCCAGGGGGGGGCCATCGCCGATCCATGAAATCCTGACCGACCTCTGACACAAGTTGTGTCTACTCACTTTCTTGCTTCTCGGCTTCACTCGATGCCATACGCTTCTCCGATCTGTCCCAGCCCGTGCAGCGTGGATCCTACCTCGCGGGCGCCCCCGCGCCGACTGGGCCGCGTGCCCACGGCAGGCCCCCCGATGTGCTGTTGCCGCCGGAGCCAGCGGCAGAGCCGCCTGCGCGCGGGCGTTGGCGGCGCGCGGGCAGGGACGAGGGGTGGGCGGAACTGTGAGGTAGGCCAGGAGGGCTCCCGAGTGTGCGAAGGGGTCGGATGGCAGGAAGCCCGCAGCCTTCGTAGATCCTCGCGCTTCCCCCTCTGCCATGGAAGCACAAGCCGGTCCATGAGGAAACGGGTGCTGGAGCACGTTGGCCCGTTGCATTCCCCGGGCGCAAACTCTCCATCCTGCTGGACGGCCAGGGCCCGCCTCGCCCAGGACCTCCGTGGCCTCTCGGCGCAAACCTGCCAGCGCCACGGTGCGGCCCGCCTGCGTCCCTCTCGCCGCGGGCCGCCGAGTCCTGCCGCGCTGCAGCGGGCGGAGGGGGGGAGGAGGAGGGAGGAGGGGGCGGGAGGAGGAGGAGGGAGGAGGAGGAGGGAGGAGGAAGAGGGAGGAGGGGGGGGGGGAAGGCGCCGAAGAGGGAACGGAGGGGCGTCTCTGGGCACGGCGAGCCCCCGCCACGCAGAGGCTCCCGAAAACCCCAGCTTCGAGGAGCGGCCCGACAACCGGAGCCCCTCCAGAACCCCTCGACGCCTTGGCGCTCTAGCCCGACTCGGCCACACTCGCCTCCCGCTGCCGCGGGCTCGGATGCCCGAGGCCGCCGGTGCACACCTCGTGGCGACGGCTCTCTGCGCCCGAGGCCTCCTCCCGCGCACCCCCTCCGCGGCCAGCAGCTGCTTCTCCTCTCGACCGCGGTGGCGCTCGCCCCCGCCGCTGCCCAAGAACTGCATCCCCGTCTCCCTCGTGCTTGGCCTCCTCCGCGCGTGCCGTGTCCGCAGCCTCGCGGGCGGGGCCCTGGGCCGCGACCCCGCGGCTTCGGGGCGCTCTTGTTGCGGCTGCCCCGCGCGGAACGTATCCGTATACGCCCGCGCACCCAGAGGCCTCACAGATGGGGTCCGGGCAGATGGGGTCGGAGGATCGCGCCGCTGCGCCGATGCGCCGTGGATGTATCGGCGACGTTGGCGTGCAGGACATCGAGCCGAATCGCCGATGCATCGGCGATGCGGCGTAACCCTCCGACCCCAACCAGAGGAAAGAGAACTATGCACATGCACCGATCCTGGCCAGGCCCCTCCTGAGCCCAGGATCGGTGCATACGCCCTCCTGCCTTGGCCAGGAGGGTATATGCACCGATCCTGGGTCAAGGATGGGCCTTGCCAGGATCGGTGCATGTGCATAGTTCTCTTCGCCCGACCAACTGCGGCACCTTCTGGGAGGCCCCCTGGAGAATCCGCGGGATCGCGTCCCGGAATCCAGGCCGCGAGGGCGCGGCTGCGGATCTGTTCTCAGCCCGTGCGGGGGCGAGGAGGACGAGGGCGAGGGCGCGGAGGCGTATCCGCGGGATCGCGCCCCGGAGCCCAGATCGCAAGGGCGCGGATTCGGACACGTCCGCCGCTATGACCACCGACCATACAACCTCAACCCGACCCGAAGTCCAAAATCTCGGGCCGGGAGGGTGCGGGTCCCACCTGTGGTGTTTCCAACGTTCCGGGGCCCTCCCCTCCACTGGGAATGGAGGGCAACTGGGGGCCTTCGGGATGGGTTGGGGTGGCTTTTGAGCAGAGGCCGACCGTCCTGGCATGTCTAGAGTCCTACCGCGAAATGGTTCTAGAAACCGAAAATGTTCTGATAGCAAAAACCCAGTTCTTAGAACTCAAGCCCGATGTGCCAAAACAAGGCAGGCTCCGCCAGAAAGGTTTTTTAAGAACGTGCCGTGGGAACCACAAGCGGTTCTTAGAACATTGCGTGGTATAGGGCTACAGACGAGCCAGGGGCGCTTCGCCACTCTTGGAGGCTTGGTGGGCAGTGGCGCCCGCGGCCCCGCGCGCATGCCACCCGGCTGCGCGGCGCAGCCGCACAGCACGCGCCGCCCGGCGGGCGGCCCGGGCTCGGCGCCGGCTCCCGCGGCGCGACGGGCTCCCCCCGCCGCCCCCGTGGAGCAGCGCGCGCGCCCGGGCCTCCGCGGCGCGCGGGGAGGCGCAGCCCTCTCGCTCGGGCCCGCGCCCGTGCTCCCCTCGGTGCCCGCTCGGTGCGCCCGCTCGGCCGCTGGAGGTGCTCGGACGCGGCCCAGGCCGGGGGCGGGCCTTCGCGCGCGCGAGGAGGCGCGACGCCTCGCTCCGGCCCGCGCCGGGGCTCCCCCCGGGTCGGCCCCCCCGGTGCCCCCTTCGGCGCGTGAGCCCGTTCGGCCGCAGGACGGACTCGGACGAGGCCACGGCAGGGGCAAGGTCGGAGAGGGATAGAGTGGGAACCTTCTCTGAGATGCGGCGGTTCGGGAGGATCCATCGGGCGCCGCGGCCTTCTGAGAGCGTTCCAGAATGCTCTGAGAGCGCCCGGGAACGCTCTGGAACGATTTATGGCTGTCCCAACCCCGCCCGACGTTTCTGCCGCCAGACGGACCCCGGATCGAGTCCGTGAGGCGGCTGGACCAGCCCGGTTCCCACCGCGGTGCCGGCACCGAGCGGCGAGTGTCATCAGAAGCCGCAAACTCGGTGGTGGCTGCTACCCCCGCCCGTGCGGCGGTCGTCTTGGACGGCTGCCGCTGCCCTCGCCCACACTGGGTTGAAGGGAGGAGGAAGGACAAAGGACGAAGAAGGGGGGGGCTGCGGGAATGAGGGAGGGGAGGGGGCGGAACTGGCGGGGACTAACATGTCGTCAAGGACAGCATGCATCATGCAGCCCTGGCGTGAAAAGCGCACAAGCGGCGACTCGGGTAAGATAGGGGCCTGGTCGCCAGTGGCTCGCTGCCCAACCTGTTGCTGAAGGGCTGCGCTGGCGTGCTCGCGATGAGGAAGAAGGAGGAGGGAAGATCAGAGAGGAGGGGAAGGGGATGGGATGGGCAGGGGTGAGGCAGGAGGGGGATAATCCGGAACAATTTGTGTTACGGCCCCGGGGCCTGGCCAGCGCTTCCAGAAGCCCAATATGGCCAAACAAAACCAACAAACTGACAAGGATTTCTTTTCACGACGAGAGGGGTCTGGAGAGGTAGTATCGAGGGGGGATGGGGAAGGAAGGAGGGGGAGGGAGGACAGGGGGGGACAGGAGGGAGCTCAAGGGAACGGGAGGGCGCCTGCCAGCCAGAGCCGTCGGCGCCCGGGACCTCCGCTAGAAGTGCCTGGGCGCGCGCGCGCGAGCACCCCCCCGCACAACTCATCCTGCTGCACCCGCACCTCGTCCATCTTCGTCGTCCTCCTCGATCTTGCCCAAAACCCATCGCGTGGTGAACAGAAGAGCACGACAGGTGTCTTCGTTGCTGCTGGCGGCCTCTGGGAGCCCTCGCTGGGCCCAGGGACCGTCAACAAACGAATCAGGGCGAAACGCCAGTCCCGGGGAGTTGGTCGAGACCTCTGTCGGTCAGAACTTCGGAAGGCTGGGTCCTCCCCTGGAGAGTAGATGCTGGAACAGAGCGGATCGGTGAGCCAACGGCCAAAGGAGGCAAGATCCGCTCAGACTGGCCACGAAAAGAGACAGGACAAACACTTTCGTATGCATGAGGAGGCCGGGCGGTGTTGCACCGTCCCTTGATGCGCGCCTGAAGTTCGGTACCGCGATGCAGATTGCCTTTTTCAACTCTCAGCTCTGAAGAATAACTATTGTTGGTCCCTCTTGCCCGATGCCCTTTGCAATTCTTCCATGTGTATGTCGCCCCCCCTCGGGGCTCGCACCCTGTTCTTGATCAAAGGACGTCTGAAGATTAAAACTGGATTGTTGGCCCGGGACTTACATCAATGACGGCCCACGCCTGATACGCACCGCATTCACAAATTCTTCAGGATCCGCTGCCTCGCCCAGGAGCTCCTAACAGATTGTGCAGGCGCCATTCCCTCGACGCCCCAAAAGCGCCCTCTCGCACGAGACTTCCTTGCAAGTTGCTCAGGTCTCGTGGTCTCCCCCGTACTTCCTTCGCAGTCAACAGAGTTCGCTTCAGTGCCCCGCCCGCCGCGCTTGTCAGGGCCTGCCCGCCCGAAAAGCCCGTTCGAGCCCGCCCGCCTGATCCGCCCGCTCACCTGCTTGAAACCCACCCGCCTTCTTAAATGTCCCGCCCGAGCCGCTATCCTGGTGGTGTTGTTGCTGTTGCTGTTACTGTTGGTGTAGGTGTTGGTGTTGGTGTTGCTGCTGCTGTTGGTGGTGCTGTTGGTGTTGTTGGTGTTGTTGTTGAAGTTGTTGAAGCAGTTGTTGTTGTTGTTGTTGTTGTTGTTGTTGTTGCCGTTGTTCGGTAAGGCGTTGACACCGGCCCTGGCTTGTTGTTGAGATCTTCTGCTTTCCTCAGAGTGTAAGCAAAGCTCCAGCAGCCGAGGGCTTGCCCGGCGGGGCCGGAGAAGGGTCTGTCACTGAGGCGGCAGTGGAAGTGCCCCACGGGGCCAGAGAAGGGGTCGGCATTCCTGGCGCGTTTCCAAAGGTTTCCCCCGGATTTCCGCGAATCCCTCAGGATTCCTTTGGATTCCTGAGGCCCCTCCAGACTCTCTAAGATCCCCAAGGATTCCTTAGGACCCCCCAGGATTTCTCGGGATTCCTCAGGAGCCATTCCGCGGGACCCCCGAGGATTCCTCAGGATCTTCCACGAGTCCTCAGGTTCCTTCCGGAGTCCCCGGGATTCCTCAGGATCCCCCAGGAATCCTTTGGATCCCAAGTGATTACTCAAGATCTCTCCATGGGGCTCGTTCTCAGGATCCCGTTGGGCACCTCGGGATTATTCAGGATATCTTCGAAATCTTCAGGATCCCCAAGGCTTCCTCAGGACACTTCAGGATTCCTCAGGATCCACCGTGTCTCCTCAGGACGCCTACGGACTCATTGGGATTCCCCATGGTTCCCCAGGATCCCCTCAGGGTAACCCTCAGGATTCTTCCGAATCCCTTAGCATTCTTCAGGATCCCCGCGGATTCCTCAGGACCCACAAGGATTCCTCAGGACCCCCTAAGGGTCTCCTGGGGACTCCTGGGGGGGTTCTGGAGGATTCATGCGCTTTTCCCTTGCGGAATCCTTAGGAGCTCCTGGGAGCTCCCCAGGGGTTCCTGGGGATCCTCTAGGGGTCCTGAGGACCTCCCTCCCCACCTCCTCCCCCCAGGGGATCCTGAGGATGCCCTCGGGGCTCCTGGGGATGCTCTAAGGATTCCTGAGGATTCCCTCGGGGTTTTTAAGGTTTCTCTAAAGATTCCCAGGGATTCCCTCTAAGGGTTCCTGAGGATTTCTTATGGATTCCTTAGAATTCCCGCGGGATTCCTGGGGATGCCCTGGGGGGTTTTCCGGAGTCCCTAAGGGGTTCTGGAGGATTCCCGATGGGGGTCCTTTGAAAATTCCCTATGCATCCTTGAGGGTTCCCTAGGGATTCCTGCGGATCCCCTATGGGAGTCCTGGGGATTCCTTAGGGGTCCTGAGGACTCCTTCTGGGTTCCTGAGGATTCCCTACGGATTCTGGAGGATTCCCAAGGGGTCCTGGGGATTCCCTACGGGGCTCCTGACGACATACTCCAGCCCCGTCCTGAGACGTTGTGTGGCGACAACTTCTCCGGCCTTGCGAAAGGCCATCAGCGGCGGTGTCGCGCCGCGGTGGGCAAGCTTACGCTCCAGCCCCGTGTGCACTATCATCTGTGAAAACACCCCCCGTGCGCTACCCCGTTCTCTGGCCCCGTGTACAGCCAAGACACCCTCAGGGACCCTCGCAACTCCTGACGAAAGCTAAAGACTCCCTCAAGGACCCTCACGACGACGACGACGACGACGACGACGACGACGACGACGACGACGACGACGACGACGACGACGACCACGACGACGACGGCGGCGGCGGCGGCGGCGGATCCCCACGACACCCTAGTGGATCCTCAGAAGCCCTTGAGGGACCCTCGGGAACCCCTTCGGGAAAGCTCAAGGGACCCCCTTTCGAGAATCCCCCAGAAACCCTAAGGGCCCCTCAGGAATCCGTGCATCGTGTTTTCTTCTAAATCAAAGTGTGCCCCTCGACGCTCGCACCTTTTTTTACCAGGGAAAGTCTTAAAGCTCAAACTGTGCCCCTGGCCCCAGGGTTACAACAACAACGGCTCCCGCCTGAGACTTCCTCACAAGTTAACCAGGACCCCCGTTCCTGCCCGAGACTTCCTCGCGTTTGATTCAGGAATCGCGCTCTCGCTTGGGACTTCCTTCCAATGTATTCAGGAATCGCTCCTCCAGCGCTCTGGAGTCGCGCTTTCGCTGGAGACTTGCTTACAATGTATTGAACCATAGCGCCCGAATTTCTTACAATTTGCTCAAGCGCCGCGCTCCCGACGCCCAGACACCTGGAAGTCGCGCTCACGCTTAGGACTCCCTCACAGATTACCTAGGAATCGGGATCTCGCTGCCCTTCGTGGCCGCGTTGCAGCCCTTCGTGGCCCCCTCGCTTTGTTTCGTGGCCCCGTTGCAGCCCCTCGTGGCCCCACCGCTGCCCTTCGTGGCCCCGTTGCAGCCCCTCGTGGCCTCCTCGCTGCCCTTCGTGGCCCCAGTCGTGGCCACCTCGCTTTGTTTCGTGGCCCCGTTGCAGCCCTTCGTGGCCCCCTCGCTGCCCGTCGGTGCCCCGTCGCAGCCCTTCGTGGCCCCTTTGCAGCCCTTCGTGGCCCCCTCGCTGCCCTTCGTGGCCCCGTTGCATCCCTTCGTGGCCCCCTCGCTGCCCTTCGTGGCCCCATATATGTATGCCCTGCGTGGCCCCCGCTCGCGCCCGTGGTGGCCCCATATGCATGCCCTTCGTGGCCCCGCTGTCGCCCTTCGTGGCCCCCTCGCTGCCCTTCGTGGCCCCGTTGCTGCCCTCAGCGGCCCCGTCGCAGCCCTCCGCGGCCCAGTATACGTATGCCCTTCGTGGCCCCCGCTCGTTCGCGCCCGTTGTGGCCCCATGTGCATGCCCTTCGTGGCCCCGCTGTCGCCGTTTGCGGCCCCCTCATCGTGGCCCAATTGCTACCCTCAGTGGCCCCATCGTTGCCTTCCGTGGCCCCGCATTGTCTGCCCTTCGTGGCCCCCGTTCGCTCGCGCTCTTCGTGGCCCCAGACGCATTCCATTGGTGTTCCCGCTGTCGCCCTTCGTGGCCTACTTCGTGTCCTTGTGGCCCTGCTGTCGTTCTCTCTCGCGCTCTCGCTTTCGGTCGTCGTCGTCGCCGTCGTCGTCGTCCTCGCCGTCGTTGTCGACGTCGTCGTCGTCGTCGTGGTCGGTCCCCTGTCCGTCTCCTCTTGGGGTCGGGTCGACGGTCCGCGGCCGCCCCGCCGATCAGCGCTGCCGCTGGCCAGGCCGACGGTCCGCGGACGCCCCGCCGCTTGCCGGGGCCCGGACTGCAGGGAAAAAAGTATACCCCCCAAAAGGGGTTCGATCGAAGACGAAGAGGGCGGGTTTCGAGGGTTGCGGAAATACGCGTTATTGGACACTCGAGCAGATAAGGGCGAACAGCCTTAAACTGATTGGTGTTGTTGTTTTTATTGTTGTTGGTGTTGTTATTATTATTATTATTATTATTGTTGTTGGTGTTGTTGGTGTTGGTGTTGTTGTTGTTGTTGCTGTTGTTGTTGTTGTTGTTGTTGTTGGTGTTGGTGTTGTTGTTGTTGATGTTGTTGTTGTTGTTGTTGTTGTTGTTGTTGTTGTTGTTGTTGTTGTTGTTGTTGTTGTTGTTGTTGTTCGGGGTCGTGGTCGTCGTCGTCGCCCTCGCCCGAGACCTGCGCGCGACCCACCCGAGACCCACCCGCACACCTTGGACAACGATCGGGGGCTGCGGCGAGCTTGCTGTCTAATACATTGAAAATTGCCGCTTCACATCTTCCTCCGAGCCTCGCGAAACTGCCGACGAAAGCCCAACCCCCTCGCTCTTACCCGCAACTGCGGGAACCGAATGCGTATCCATCTCTCTTCATACGTCCATAGTTTCCCAATCACTGCTTGCACTCAAAGGGGCCTAGCGGAAATTGAAAAACTTGGCGAACGTTCCCGCAGATTTTGGTAGCAGGCTGGATTCCCGGGTTCCGGATTCCCGGGTTCCCGGTTATTGGTTCCAGGCCGATGTGGGTGGGTTCTGGGTTCCCGGGCTCCCGGGTTCCCGGTCGATCTCCTCAGCCCATGGGGTTATTCTCTGGTATAATTTATATGTACACATGGGTGGAA